GCTTCTTCATAATGCCTCGTGCCTCTGGATTGAGATGAAGAAGATTCTTCTTGGTCAGATCACTTGCTGTTAAACGAACGCTCTGTAAGAAGCCAAGCACCACCAAATCTCAGGTTTCCCGGTTGTTTAGCTGCAACAGCTAGAAGCAGCAAAAATAAAACTCCATGCACAACTAGGAGGCTGCGTATGTGCCAAGAGCCACATCCAGCTTGACCAGCCCATCTTGTACCTGCCCTTGGTGTACTGACGCACCACCGTGAGCAGAAGGTACTTTCAGCATTACTTAAAAGCACAGCAAAGCAACAGTTTGCATTCTGCTTAGACCAGAACGAACAGCTCCCGCTTCTGACTAATAACTTCTTCAGGTTCTTTTTAAGCGACATTTACCTCCTGATAAACTGTGATGGCACAAGTAAGCGGGTGAGAATGAATGAACAGGAGTCCCTTGAAACTGATAAGGCCCCCAAGAAGGCACAGGCTCTCCTTGCTGCATAGATTTTACAGACTCAAGTTTGATTTTACCTCCCCTCCTCCAACAGGAATGGTAATGAAGACATCATTGCCATCAGCAAGGGGGCTGCCATTAGCAGAGACGGTGTAAACACGTTCATTTACTGCGGGTGTGCGCAAACCCGGCGTCTTGAAAACTCTGGAAAAAGCAACAGGTAAGGAATTTTACTGCAATTGCTTAAAGCACTTGGACCAAAAGTCTTCCATTGCAGTTTCAAAGCGCTGCTGGAAAATATTCTGCATATAGACAACTGAGATGTAAGGAGCAAGCAGCAAGGCACTCCTCTGTATAAGAAATTAATAGAGAAATGCAATAGAATACAAACCTGGAATCAAACCTGGGTGTGACGATGGAGGCACCTCCTCGAGCACAGAGATCGAGATTTCTGCCAGTAGCCGGAGTGATAAAGCTGCTTTTGCTTGATCTGCTCAAAAGGAATTGTGTAAGTAGAGCCCTGTTCTCAGAAGAATAATTTTAACAGACACGTAAGCACCGTCTTACCAGAGACTTAGATGAGACAACCCAAGGTTCTCACAGATCGCCCTGCAGCACAGCATGCCTACATCACCCAGCCTGCTAGACCACGCACCACCCCATTCAGCAGCTACGTTAGCACCGCACCTTTACTGTCCGTTTCTGAAATCCTGCCACGAAACTCATCGCCGTTACCTTTTACTCATGCGTTTCACTCTTGTCGAAGGAGCTCTTCTGCTCCTGGACGCTGGTGCTTTTTTAGTGGACGTCCTCACCTGAAACACATTAGCTGCCAAGTCGGTCATTTCCTTCTCCTGTGACAGCCAAGTCCGCACCGAGCAAATGCTCCCCACCCTGCTTGGCTCAGCAGGCTCCTTCCTGCAGCACGAGAGTCTGAAACAAGACACTGGACAACCTTCTGAGACCTTCCCCATTCGAGTACTACTCTCACATCCTTTCCCCAACATTAAGCTGTAGAACTTCAGGAGGATAACGGACCATGTTAACTTCTACTCTGACTCGGGACGGTTCACGTATTTAGTATCGTCCACTGCAAAATTCATAAACTGAAAAACCAAAAAGCATTATTGGTAAATATTTTCAACGTGGCCCAGACTGTTCTGCCCTAGGGAATATCACTCCCTACATACAACAATGCTGAAGACACCCGCTCAGATGAGAAGGATGAGACACTCACATGCAGAAGCACAACAGGAATAAAAGCAGAGGTAACTTGCAGCACAGTCACTTTGCTCGCCACAAGTAACAGCACTGTCTGCCAATGAAAGCTTGCAGCACCACCAGAACAATCAGGAAGCAACAGCTTTTTCAATGTCACCCTTACAGCTGTCATCCTGCACAGCTGTCCCACCATAGGCATCAGCATTGTCTCAGTACATAGTTTATATCCTGGGAATAAAAGCCATCACAAAGAGCAGCTGCTTACCTTTCCACTTCTTGCATTAGTACTTGCAGCTGCTTGCTCCAGAAGTTGGCTATCATGTTTTGCTTTTTTTGCTGGAGGGAGCAAAGGAACTTCTGCTGCTTCTTCAGTAGCTTCAATACCCTGTTTAGATTTTTCTACGAAAAGGAGAAAGCATTATTCAAGTTGACAGGAAAAAAAACCAAACTAATGTGACATAACTGACCATTAGCTAAGGTAAGGAAATATACTACAAGCTTCTTTTGGCAACAGTTTGCTTCTAAAATCTGAATTCTGATGACAACAATAAAAAGAACACGGCTGTGAATTATTCAGAATGCTTTAATTAAAGCAAGTAAAACTACTTCAGGTTGCAGGAGTAAAGGTAGAATTATGTCCCTGTCTTTAAATGTAGCAAAGGCTAAGAACCAAATCAGCATTCACAGAATGTTAACTACTGACCTTTTGTGACGATTTTCAAAGGAGTCTGGATAAATTCTGCTGTTAGCTTGTTTATTTCTGTTATTCCCAAGTCTGCCTAGAATTAAGAGGTCATAATATTGTCAGGATGATCAATAGTGCGAGACTGTGATAAGTCAAAGTTGCAGGCTAAATCTTTATTACTATTTCACAGCAAAAATATCTTTACGTTCTTCTGCTGCGCTCAAACAAATTCCTTCCTCGTTATTCTGGACATAACAGATCTCGGTGCCCTTCAGCGCCAGCACGCCTTGCTGGGCAGCTGCAAGCACACTTCACCTACTCCCTGCTGCTCAACCACCACAGCAATGCTTTAGCTTACTGAGAGGCGTGTGCTCTTCCAGAGACTTAGGAGCAAGCCCCCACGGCGTGGGACTCCACAAAATGACTCCAGGGGAGCAGAGCAACCTTACAGATAGCAGGAGAGAAGGGCTGGTGCATTAGGCAACAGTGATCACCGTTTGTGATAGTGGAGCAGCCAGTGGAGGGTGATTATATCACGTTTATTTTTTTTTTCCTTTATGACCATCCCTGAAGAATGCTAAAATGCAAAGAGGACTGGGAGAGGCGTACTGGCAGAGGCTGCCCAGAGTGTGCCCACTGCTGTATGGTGTACATGTACGAGAGTCTTAAAAGCACAGCTGGCACACCCCTCTGGTGTTTGTCTACAATGTGGCATGGTTTAAGCCTTAGAAGCTACACTCCTGAGGGCGCTAATGCTTTTATGCCCTCTACTGCCTTCCCAGGGAATGTGTCAACGGGCAGAGAGATGTTTCAACAGGTCTTCAAATTTCCCTTCTCCCACACTTTTCCTTTCCCCCCTCAAAGTTTCTGGATGTTTCTGGAACGTCCAAACCAACACAATCACATTGTTCACACTGTCATGTTTTCGGAACGTGCTTTTCATTATCAGTGTCGGCCGGGGATCTTCCCCAAAGCTGGTTAACATTGAGTGGCAGAGGGTGTGGTGGAACTCAGGAGAAAACTTAGAGAAGTGGACACTCCCGGTGTCACAGAGCTCCCCTCCCAAACTCCTGCAGAACCCTGGGAGGTTAGGAAGGTATTGAAGAGAGGGAAAGTTGCGGCCCCAGCAGACCTACGGAGGCACAAATTATTTGGGGCCTGGCTCAACAGCATGTGAGGGAGTTTGAGGAGCAAACAATCGTAAACAATCAGCACTGAAGCACGGCTCCTTTCAGCACCTTGACTACCAGTTCAAACTGGATGTTTAAAGGAAAGGTTCCCTCCACACGACATGCTTCTGATGCCACTAGGAGTAAGGGGGGTTGTGGTGATTACACAACAGACTCAGAGGGGAAACCGTGACCATCCAGGAATTTTGAGAGTGACTTGGGAGGTCTTTTGCAACCTCAGCAATCCCTTAGCGTGAAGTTAAGCAGGCCCAGAAAGCCGGGCAAGGAGCAGCACGAGCACGCAAACCCTTCAGGGGACACCACAGCATCTCCTCCCGCTAAGCCTTAACGCAGTTAAGATCCGCGTGCGTAACCTGCGCTATCGCAGCAGCGCTCCTGCGGATACACAAAG